TTACCAACCCCCTTCATGGCCAACTTGGAAACCAAACGTCTCCATATAGTACCTACTGCAATAGGTCGTATTCCCTTGTCAGGTTTTAAGAGCGGCGTGAGAGGAGCAGAGGCAACAAATTCTGCCAAGCTCGAAGGGCAGCTTCCCCCTAGCCATAGATTAACCACAGAAGTAATAACACGTAGGAGGTCTTTGGCTATAGCCGAACCTTCTCCACAAAGGGCATCTAAAATGTGTTGAGCTCTCAACCCGTCCCTCTCACACGAGGTACCTTTAGGGAAGGATTTAATTCCCCCAAGGACATTGTCAACATCCACTACCAGGGGAGGTTCTGAAAATATGGTGTTGGGCATGGAAGGCGGTGGCTTGTATGGATACTTATCCTCCAATTGGTTGTTTGAATAGATTTACATGATTGCATTATGTGTTTTGGTTCCACATAATGTCTCTTTTCGAGCCAATATCAGTTTAATTGATATACATCTGAAGTATATAAATTCTTGGTATATAAAAGAATATTAGAAATTTGTTTTATGGATTTGTTTTTGATAATTGATAATGGGTATATGTTAAAAAGAAGCGGAAAGAGTTGGTGGTGATTTTACCTAGTTATTTAAACATTTTTCTCGGTAAATTGAAGCTCCAAACGACTTAAAAATAGCAGAAGAAAAAAAAACATTTCGGGTTAGAAAGACAGTTTCCCGAATCTTTTTGGTTAAAAGCCAAGTCATAATTACAGAATTGGATTTAAGAAAAAAAAACCATATTGATCCCTTGTCGTTTCATGACATGATAATGTTAAATGAAACTATATACGCACGTTCAATTCGTTATTTTTCATTTAAATTGAAACCTGAAGTTACTGGTTTAGCTCTGTAGTTTCAACAACTTGCTGATTTTTCTTTGTTAAAAAATACATGAAAGTTTCACATTCAGTCCCTTTAATTTCAGTGTTTATTTTAGACTATAACAAAAGAATATCAAGAATTTTTTAAATAAGGTTTGTTAAATTAATTTTCCTTATAAATAAATATATGTTATGGTTAAGAAAATCCATCAATTTATTAATTATTTTGGAATATTACCTCTAAAAATGCAATCCTGATATTTTAGAAATATTGACATATCTAAAAAAAGAAAAACAATATTTTTAAATTGGTTATTACGAACATCGTAATTAACATAATTAGATAATAATTATTATTGGCCGAACGAGATACATGTGTGATGGAACCGAAACGGACACGTAGGATGTTTTTTTAGGATTGTGGCCTTAGAAAATTTGTTGGTGGAATGTAGGGTATGAGTAGCGTGACAAGATTTGGTAAATACCTAATGACAACGATATGAGTTTTTTGTGTGTTGTGGTTGTTCGCACATAAATGTTTATCATGCGATTTATATGTGATTTTTAATTATTTATTGACAATATTTTTTATGGTTGCGTGCAAATGTTATTTGGACTTGTTTATCTACTCTGTGATTTATTGGGATGACATATTTAGTGGGAACAAGTGGGGTGTTTAATAGTTGTGGGAATGACAAATGTGTGTGATCGGCGGGGATGAGAATTGAGAATTATACTCACTTCCTTGGATATTTAACAACTTTGAGTACAATGGATGGGTTGTGTCAAGGGGAAGGGAAACAAGCATTTGATTCTTTCTCTGGATAATTAATCGTTCTCCTAAATTGTATCATCGGGTGATATGTTCTGTTGTATGATTTATTGAAAATACATGATAAAACTAGACCCTAGGCTTACCCATTTAGAAACTTTAAAATATGAACATCCCAGGAAACTATCTAGCAAGTGGCAGTGAGAATGCCAAGAAGAAGAACTGATCATGAAGACGACATAGGAGTTCTTCAAAGACGTAACACCCGAAACTCTTCGGTTGAAGTTCTTATTTTATTTTTATTGCTTCCATTGTACCGCTCTCAATAGTTAAGGGTTAGAACTGATTTTGGAGATGTTGGAAAGATTATTTTTTAACTTAATCTATCATTGAAAATTGGGGTGTTACACACTTCTTATGGGTGTTTCCATTACGTGGAAAATCATATGCTTTTTTTTTCTGTTTTTAAATTTTTTCGAGAATACGTGATGATTCAATTTAAAACTGACTTACAACTTTTTCAATGCGACAATGGACGTGAATTCAATAATCTACCTCTCTTGGATATGTTTTTTAAACCAATGGAATTAAAATTCGATTTTCATCTCCTTACACCTCCCAACAAAATGGAAAAGTTGAATGCATTATTTGCTCTATTAATAACATCTTACGCATATCCCTTCTTCAAGCCTCCCCGTCACTTAAGTTATGGATCGAAGCCCTTCTTTCCGATGCTCATACTTTCAATCTTCTTCCCATTACTACCCTTCAATAAAAAAGCCCTTTGAAATTTTGTTTTGTTTCTTTCCGACCTACTCTCAGCTAAGAGTTTTCGGTTACTTATGTTACCATAACACTTCTTCTACTACCCCTCAAAAATTGGCTCCCAGATCCTTCACCCGTGGATATCTAGGTTTGAGTATTGTTCATTGTGGGTACCAATGCTTAGACTTTATTACTCGGAAGGTCATCATATCTCGTCATGTTACTTTTGATGAATCTCGTTTCCCGTATTATGATTTTCATCTAACTTCTCTGCCTCTGACTTATGATTCGTTTGACATGGATGATTATGTCCCCACTGTCTCCCATTCATTCCAACCAATCTCTTATTGTTTTCTCGTCGAATGTAACTCATTCTCCTCCTCCTTCTACTTATTCTAATGATGTCACCGACATATCCTTTTATGCTCCCTCTAGCACGACTAATTTGCCTCCTCCTATTAGTCACCCGATGGTCACCCAATCTCGCACAGGCTCCCTTCGGCTAAAACAAATCTTTAATCTCTCTATCACAAACCACATTTCTCCCATTCCCTGCTTTGCTGCCTAATCCATGTGTGATCCGCATTAGCAATGTGCCATAGATTCCGAAATGTTTGCGGTCACCTCAAATCACAAATGGGATCTCGTTCTGAAGCCCCCTAATGCAAACATAATAGGCTATCGTTCGTTATACCGCCATAAATTCAACAGTAAAGGACACCTTGATCATGACAAATATCGTCTTGTTGCTCAGGGTTCTCTCACCAGTCTGGCTTGGACTTTGATGACATGTTCAGTCCTGTTGTCAAATTAACCACCATTCACACTGTCTCAGTATATCTACTTCTCGTCAAATGGCCGATCCATTAGATCGATGTTAATAACGTCTTCCTTCATGGTGATCTTACTAAGATTGTTTATATACGTCAATGCATGGCTATGTTAATAGCAAATTTCCTGATCATGTTTGTCGTTTGCATAAGGCTTTATATGGCCTTAAGCAATCCTCTTGAAGCGTGGTATTAGTGTTTTGTTATCTACCTCCACTCCTTAGGCTTTCTTAGCAGTAAGTCTGATAGCTCTTTATTCACCTTTTATCGTGATTTCGATGCTATCTATCTCCTTCTCTATTGGATGATATCATTCTCACTACCTCCTCTCCCTCTCTCATCTCTAAAGTCTTCTCTTAGCTCTTTTCTGAATTTCCCATGTTCGATCTCGCTCAATTATCTTTTTTTTCAAGGTATTGTTGCTTCCCACATGTCATCTAGTCTCTTCTTATCTCAAAGTGCTTTTTCTCAGGATATTCTTCCACATGTTGATATTGAGGAGTTTTCTAGGTTACAACAAAAAGATTTGCACAATGTATTTTTCAACATAAACTCTTATGGACACGTACAACCTAGAACTTCTATGAAATTTTCACTATTATAGCACCATACTTTATGAAACAACTTCTAACCTACTATAACTGAAATTACTAGGGTTAGAATCATACCTTTAGGAACAAACCATTGGTGCTAGAAATCTTCTTGTAGATTTCATTAGAAAGCTTAGCTCCAATAGTGTTCCTTTATAAGTTAGAGATTAAAGTAAGCCTACTTGCATAACTGTTGTTCTAGAGGCAATAAGAACTTCCTTGTCTTTTTTTTTTTCAGATTTAGATATGGTTTGATTTCTCGAGGCTTCGGATTTAATTTTTCTGAATATGATGGTGACCGCTGTGAACAGTGGTGATTGTCGGATGTGGCGGTTTTCCTGGGTTGAAATTAATGGAGTGTTTCATCATATGTATATTAAAGAAGAGAGAAGAAGAGGACGTCGTACAATTTTGAAGGAGAAAAGAAGGGCTAAAGTGTTTATTTTGGTTTAAGACAAAACTTCATGAATAGTCATGTAGTATGTAAAAGACATTTGTAATGTCTTATGCATGTTCAGACTTAATAGAAGAAAAGTGATAGAGTTTATCATAAGAACAATTCATTAAAAGTATTCAAACCATAGGGACCATCTTTGATGAAAAAAAATGAATGATCAAACTCATTTTTTTTGAAAACCGCAGGGACCATTTACGAAGAATTATCCTTATTAAAATATAACCTAAAAACAGTTCATTAGTAGATATCGAATATCATTGAAGTTTAATAAAAACAATTAATAACTAATATATGTTATTTTTATCAGGATATAAGATAACTATTTTATTAGTAGATATCGAATGTTATTGATTTTTAGTTTTTACTTTTTAACCTCAATAAAAATGGAATAAACGTTTTTTTTTTAATAAATAACTAATTATTTTGATTTACACATGTTTTCTTTATTAAAAAGTTACTATTCGCACCTCATCTTCCTAATGTTACAAGTTGATATTAATACATATCTAATTTATTGTAGATTTTTTTTTCAATATGAAAAACAAATACATAAACAAAAATGTATAACATAAAATTTTTAAAAATGTAAATAGTAAGTATTATGTAAATAAAATACAAGCAAATTAGAATTTTTTTTTTAATAGAACGCTTTTGGGACCAAGGGGTTGCAAGGCAAAGATAATAGACGAGACTTTAGTTTCATATCTTTTAAAAACAATTTCTGAGCTAAAACTCTGTAATGGCACGTCCTTTTTCATCATTTACCTTATTCTTCATCATTTTGCAGCTCTTATGGACTTGTAGTTTGTATGCAAATGGATGTTACACTTCAATCATCGGTTTTGGAGACTCTCTATTCGACACTGGTAACCTAAAACAGCTAAATCCACAATTAGGTTTCTTTTATCCTCCTTATGGGGAAACCTTTTTTCATAAGCCCACTGGCCGTGCTTCCAATGGTCGCCTCATAATCGATTTCATTGGTAACCCCTCCCCTCATCTCACTTGGTTTTTGTATGTATGTGTCCACCTATATGGAGACACTTGATCTCTGTCTAAGTGTTGCAACATATATACTTAATATGTGTGGTCATTGTATTTTCTCATCTATTTCAGAAATTTGTGTAAAAAATGTTCATTATGAAGCTTGCATATATTTACATAATAAAGAAGACGACCAAATTAACATATTTATAATGAAAAATAATGCAAATTTCAGAAAAGAAAAAAAAACATTATATCTAAGCCTTCTTGAAAAATACGTTATTATTCCTTTTTTTTTTCTTTATGAAGCTGAGAGCCTCAAGCTGCCATTTGTACCACCATTTTTCGATGACAACGGGGGCGAGAAGATGGAATTGGGACAAGGAGTAAATTATGCGGTAATAGGTGCAACCGCATTGGATTCTTCTATTCTTGAAGCTATTGGGGTTCATAACAAGTTTACAAATGTTATCTTTACGAGTTCAACTTGAGTGGTTCAAACAATCCATATGTGCCAATGTTTCAGGTAAATAAACTAAACTTAAATATGCACACATGAGTACAACTTAAATATGCACACATGAGTAAGGACTTAATATGGAGGGAGCTAAGATGTCTATTACTAAAAATATCTAGTTAACAATATTAATTTCATTATTTAGATTAGGAATCCGTAGGGTATATGGTTAATATCTATTAATGAGAGAAACAAAGTAATACTTAATAAAGAATATGTAGGTAGTGTATAGAGAAATAAAATATTAATAAGAATCTTTGGATGATCTGTTATGTTATATATACTAGGGAAATCCGAAGGCCGACCCAAGAGCATAGTTAAAACCGAGTGGGAAAAAAATAAAAGTACATTGCTATAAGTAGGCATGTTTTTAAATGAACATTGCCTTAAAAATAGCACAACTTAAAGTGTAGAGCTATAATAGAAAGACAATCCTGTTCTGGAGTATTGGACGTTAGATATCCCAATCACACAAACTTATTTGAAAATATATCATCAAACACACTCATATTATAATATGTCTTTATGAGTTGACACATTAACCATTAAACACACTCATATTATATGCCTTTATATATTATCAAACACATGATTTATGCCTTTATGAGTCGAAACATCAACCTTTCCGATTTAAAAAATAGGGTATTATTTGTGCACAAGTAGTATGTAAATATAAAAGAGAAAAAGGGTACATTTTTACAAGATAAATTAAGAAAGTTAATAACTTTTACAAAGATGTAGTTGAAGATATTTGTATATATTCTAAGCGAGAGCATTCTATAAGTAGATAAAAGAGATTTGTCGATTTTTGTTTTCTTTATACGAGCTCCATAACCAAACCAAATCATACATGTCTATGATCTATTTTACGAGTTCTTTAACAAATAAGTGGAAAAACAATAATTTATTTCATTTAACTCATTTATGATCTATTTTAACAAACCTACTTGGGATGTTAAGTTATATAAAGCCACTTATGATTGTAGTTCTGTCATGATCATGGTGCTTACTTTTTGCATCAAAAAGTACAACGGTGGTGTTTTCTTTAATTTCTTGTCATAAACTTTTTCCAC